GGATAAAACATGAGTATAAAAAGGTGGGAAGCCAAGTATGATGGCACAGACTTGTGATCCCACAAATTTGCAGGCAGAGGCACGAGGGTCAGGAATCCAAGGTCTTCTTCAGCTAGATAGTGAGTTTAAGGCCAACCTGTGCTACAAGAGGTCCTGCCCCCACCCCCAAAAGGTATAGAAACATGGAAATTATATAGCAAATTTTGTAAAAGAAAATAGTAAGGTTCCTCTTTGCTTCAGTCAGGACACTGAAACCAAGAGGACTTCTCACTCTCTGCATAAAGTACAAAATGGCCCAACATTGACTGATACTTTACACTCCAGCACAAGAATTGTAGTGTGCTGATGACATCTCTATTAAGCTACTATCAATCTCTCTGTGATTGAGATATAGAAACTGAGGCTTGGAAAGGAGATGTGACTTGCTCAAACTTACCAGGCTTGGCAGGAGCTGGGTAAAGATTCAAACCCAGTTCTAGCTGGCCTCTAAGCCCCAGGTCATTTTAATCTCACCATACTGATTTGAGGAGCCTGTCCACACCCCAAAATCTCAGTAACAGAATCAGTGCTCAGCCTGATACACATACAGACTCCACTGAGGCCTGAGACTGGCTCCCCATGGCTTATGGACCAGTAGGACCATCAGAGCTGGGGCATATGAGAGGGACATGACTGTCACAGCTGGCCTTAAGCTAACTGGTTAAGTCCCAGGCACAGAGCCACCTGTCCAGCTGCTCTAGCAGATGGGTGCTGCAACTGGGCCACCTGCCAAGACCCAACCTCCATGTCCAAACCAGCCTGGACATCGAGGTTCCATTCTGGCCTCTGCCAGCCCTGACCCTGATGGCTGGCAGTGCCTGCATAGATCCAGAAGGCCATGGTGACAGCCACTATTCCTTCTCCAGCAGCCAGCGCCTCCCCTGATATGGCCATATGGCCCCATATGCTCCCTGACAGCTGGACTGCTGAAGCAACTGCTGGAGGACGTCCTCTTCAGAGGCTTGGAAGCCCAGGCTGCCCCACCTACCCTTGACCAGCAGGCCTCAGGCACAGCCAGGAAAACTCTAGTTTGGAATGCCCTACCCCCAATTTTCTTTATGACCTTATGGCAATCATTAGACCCTCGGGGGCTCAATTCCTTCATCTGTCCAACAGCAATGCTGACCTTTATCCCATGCCTTTGTATCCATTTCCAAGGGTATACAACTCTCCAGCCAAATCTACTCCAGTTATCCAGGGAGATGATCTATCTTACCCAATTTACATGCAGACACTGAGGCCCAAGTGTCAGGGCCTTGCTCAGGGACACATAGTACTGAAGGCTGCAACTGTGACTCCAGGACACTTGCCATTTCCACATGTGCCATTGGTGATACTGGTCATATAACCTAAGCCCTCACCTACTCATGTCCCTACTCAGAATTTCTCTGTCTTTGGCCACTTAGCCTTCCCAGGAAGGTAGGTTGAGTTCCTGTCCCTGCCACTGCCCTTGTTACCAGCCTGGACTGCCCCCATAGCCTCAGGACCACCTCCCAGCCTCTGACTCTCCTGATCAGGGCTCCCCACCACTAAAATCAAGCACGGTTTACGTCACAAATCTAATTTCATCCCTCAAGAATATCAACCCTGAGACCCCTGTGCCTGGCATCCACGCACACTCCTTCCCTGGGCACTCAGACATTCTTTATGCACCCTGCTTACCTGTCATGCTCCTGTGTGAGCTACTCCACAGTAAACACACTCAACCCACACCAGGTACTTCCTACCTCCCTGCCTTTGCTAACACTGGGCCATCTCCTGGAAAGCCCTCACTCACATCCACATTCTCCCATCACTAATTGATTCAACAAAGATTTATTGAGCATCCACCACGTGCCAGAAACATTTCAGCAAGTCCAAATCCCTCCAGCCCCACCAGGACCTCTGAATTGCCCCTCCACCTCTCACCATCTGTGCTTTTGTAGTCACTCAGCCTGCTCTGTTCATCCCAAGGTCTGTGGGTCCAAGCCTGGTTCCCCTTCACACCTCACCCAGGGAGGGAGAGTGCTAACCTCAGCATACACATCGTACAGCCCAGGCTTCAAACAGGAGCTGTCCCAGATGTACATAGGACCCTATATGCAGGATTCCAGGCAGTGGGGAACAAGAACCAAGGTGTGCTTTGAGGGTGGGCAGGTATGTGAATGCACACTGGCCAGAGTGACCATCCACTCACCCCCAAAGGTGTTCTGAATTGTCAGAGACAACTTCCTCAAGTTACTCCAAGGTCCAATCTACCCAACAACTTCTTTAGGTAGCTGAATTAGAATTTGAGGCTGAATTTCTTCGAATGTAACAGTTTTACTATTTAAAACCCACACAAAATGTCAGGGTCAGGGCCTAGCTGAGGAGAAAAATCAAGGGCCACAATCAGGAGGCTGGGGTAGGGAATGGTTATCCTCCTAAGGGAGCAACCAGCGGGGACCAGGAGCATCTGGCTGGGATTCTCATCTCAGAAGCACAGACCAGGGGCCAAGGAGGTACCTTGCCCCATCCCCAGATTATGTCCTCATGGAGAGCTCACCCAGCTGGGAACAGCTGGAGGCAATGAGCAGGACCCTTCAGACAGAAAATAGGGCAGGGGTACAAGCAAGCCTGGATGACAGAAGTTGGGTCTAGCCAGGCATTTGGCTATTCTCTAGCCACTTGGGTATGTTCTTTCTAGTCTACACCCAAGACACCAAAATCCAAGGCTAGGGATAGAGCATTTGCCCAGCATGTAGTCCTGCATAAGATTTCCAGCACTGCAGAAGACAAAGGCCCAGACTTGGGCGACATAGAGGTAGAGGGAGCAGAGTTGAAAGAGAAGAAAAAAGCCATGGCAAGCATAACCACCATACCCAAAGGGAGCCCCAATCACCCCTTAGCCACGTCTTCCACCTCCAAAGGCCTGCATGGACCGGAGTGCAGGGACCAGCAGGACTCCTCGAGTCAAAGAGATCTGATGGTTCTGACTTCCTGTGTTTGAGTTGGACAACTTGGGGAAGGAACTGAGTTGGACAACTTGGTGGAGGGAGCCACCAAGATCCCTCCCCCTAGTGTATACTTAACTTTCCATGACAAACCCCACTTGCCAAAGGGTGAGCTCTTTCACCCAGGGGCCCACACAGATGGACAATGCCAAGGCCCAGGCTAGCTCTAACCTTGGAATAATACTAACATGCCAGAGCTGTGCTGAGTATAGCAAGTAAACCAGGCTGCAAACCATCATAAACCAGGCTCTGGTCCCAAATCTAAGCAGCACATGTTTAACTAGGCTACAGTCAGAGGTCCCATGGATGGAGTCAGGGGAATGAATTGGCTAAATTGCTTCAGGTTGAGAGTGGCTGATCCATCTGGGAAAGATATTGGTCAGTGACAGCAGAGAGCTGTCCTGGGGTGACTTCAGCAAGAGGCCTCTAGAGTCCTGTCCAAGCCAATAAAGAAGGTCCAAGTATCCTCCCTGTCCCTTCTTGCCTCTCCAGGACCAGGATCAGATCATCCCTGAAAGGGGTTGTCCTGAGACAGACCAGTTCTCCTAGCTCCATGTCTGCCTCAGTTTCCTCCTCTGTAAAGTAGACAGAAGCATGTCTGGGAGTCCTATGTTCTCTCACCATGGCTGAGAGACTCCAGGGGGATGATGAAGGTGGAAGGAAGTGTCACATCTGAAAGTTGGTCACACATAGAGATTGTCTTTCTCAGAAATCTGGCTAGATGCTGACTGGTCCAGCCACCACACCCCTTCAGGTAGCACCCAAACTGAGATCAAGGCTTTGAACCCACAGGCTAGTGTTTTGAGTGCCAGGAAAAACTATATATGAAGGTTCCATCTGCAAGGAAGAGAGCTGGAAGGATTCAGAACCAATCAGCAGCCAGAGGTGGTTTTCTAGAGGAGAAAGAACCTGCCCTGGAGGTAAGGAGAATCTGGCAAAGTCTGTAGAGGTCCCTTCCACCTCTGACCTTTCCTTGAGTGTCTCACTCAAGGGACACAAGCTTCCTTCCCTCTCAGAGGCACAAACAGAGACCACATCTCCCCACCCTATCTCTACTGCACCACCTGGGTTGGCAGTTGGGGACTATGGGAAGTCTCCCTGAAGCAGCCACACAGGACCAGAGCGTGGGCAGAGAATCACAGGGAGAGGAATACAGAGTGAGACAGGCAGAGGCACTGTTCCAAGTGATAGAGACACTAGGCTGGTGGGCCTAAATACATCCCTCTCATCCTCAGCCTCTTGGGAGCTGGGCATCTAGTTCAAGTGTGCCTTAGCAGGTAGTTCCTTTCTTAGAGCAACCCATTCGATGAGCAGGAGGCACCCCGGGGACACACTCACTCTCACACGTACCTACACACTCCCCATTCCCCCACCTTCACCCTAGCTGCAAAGACATCTCCTAGCTCCTGTGGGCTATCAGTGAGCCATCTCGCTGGACCCTTGTGGGGTCCCTGGGGTCTGGTGCTGGGAGCAACTCTAGCAGCACTGCGGGGTTGGTTTGGCTCCCAGAGAGCCTGTGGCTTGAGCGGATGAGGTGGAAGAGGCGCACCCCTCAACTACCAGGTGGTCCAACCAGCGCCCCCGCCCTACTTTGCCTCACGTTTTCTCCTCAAGAAAGAAAAGCCGAAGTTCCACCATTAAAGCGCCTCCATCCCCGCCCCCTCCAGGCCCGCCACGCCCGGGGTGCTCAGCAAAGTTGCTCCTAGCCGCCGGGATTCCAGAGCCAGGCGAGGGTTAAGCGGGGCCGCTCACCCGGCGCAAAGCACGGTCAGGACGAGGGTGCTGAGAGCGCGCCCCTCTACTAGCATCGCGCGTGCACACTCATCATGGACGCGCACTCAACACCCCACCCCCACCGCTGCCCCCGAGGTTCCCGCCCAATCAGAGGCCGCGCACGCGGCGCTGCCGGGAGGCAGACACCCCCAGCTCCGGGGCCTGCACCCCTGCAGCCGCAGCCCCGCCACAGCCTTCCGGTCCCGCTACACTCACCGTCCCAGACGTGCCGTCCGCGCGCGACTCCATTCTGGGCCCACATCACCCGGCTCCGCTCGCCTCGGATTCCACCTCCGATTCCCGCTCTGCAAGGCTCGGCCCCGAGATGGTGTCAGCGGCCACGAGAGAAGCAAGACGGGAGTGTGTGTGCGTGCGTGTGTGTGTGTGTCTGTGTCTGTGTGTGTCTGTGTGCGTGTGCGCGCGTGTGAAAGAGCGCGCGGCGTGTGCGCAGGAGAGCGCGCTCCCCTGCGCGCCCGGCTCCTGCCTTCTGCTCTTCCCGCTGCGATGCCAGCAGAATCCCTAACGCGCGCTCACACCCAGGCGCGCACACGTCCCCGCCACCTCACTCTCCCGGCGCTCACCCAGGCCCCCTGCAGCCTCAGCCCGTGGAAGCTCTGCCGTGTCGCCCACGGCCCTGCCTGGGCGGGCCGCGCCTCACGTCCCCCGCCACCCCCAGAGGATACCCCGCGGGCGTCCCCGCTGCTCCACCATGCCCTCCCGGGCCGCGGCTGCGCTCGCAGCCCGAACCCCGACTGGGTGCCGGCTCCCGCTCCTCCTGCGGTTTCCCCTGCGCCACCGCCCGCAGCCGCGTGCGCTCTCGCTCCTCTCTGCCGCTGTTCTCCAGTCCCCCACCTGTCCCCGACCCTTCCCGGATCTCTCCCGCTGCCTCTCGGTGTGCCTCGCCGCCGCCCTCTCCTGCGCCCGCCGCCCTGCGCTCTCACATTCTCTGCATCACACCGGGTGGCGCCCGCGGCTCGCGGGGCCCTGGCCTGGGGCGCGCAGTGGGCAGCTAGGGCCCGGCTGCCCCTCGCCTCTCGGCTCGTTCCGCGCTCAGCCTGGCGGGTGGCGGGCGACGTCCCGCGCTAGCCTCAGCTGCTGCTGACCGCTCTTATCTCGCCGAGGCTTAAAGGCGTAGCGCACCCGGCTCCACCTGCCCCACCCGGGGGCGCCGGGGAGGGTGGCCACCGGGCGCAGGAGGAAGCCCGGCGGTGGCGCAGCCGAGGCCGTGCGCAAGGTGCCCTGTCCGCCGAGCTTAAGGCCGGCCCTTTGGGGCTGGAGGTGAGTCAAGGAGAACGATAGAGAGCCACCAGGTCCACGCCATCCAGGAGGCGCTCAGTGCTTGTTGGCACCCAGCCTGAAGGCAGACTGGAGCCTGGGGGGCATCGTAGGCTGGACTTACAGGACTGTGCGGTTGGGAAGAGTGAAGATTCAGGGACCTAGGTGTCCGAATGTGAACCCCGGATGAAAACACCTGTCAAGCGGAGAGGACCGGACCCCTAGCCCAGGGTAGCCTCCTCCTACTGTGTGACCTTGGGCAACCGCCTACACTTCTGGACAGCTCAGTTTACCGCTCCTCAGGAAGGCACTGGCTTCCATCATGTCCGGCCATGCGCAACGCTGACTTCTTAGCTGTTCTGAGGACCTTAGAGTCCCCAGGAAGATTCCCAACACCCAAATCACACCTCTTTGCATGTGCAAGCAGGGACCACTGCTGAGGCAGCACCGTTTGCCATCCCCAATCCACCCTTTTCAGGCCCTGGTTGCCCCCTCAACTTATTCCATGACCCTTTTTCTCACACCTTGCCAGGAGAACAGAGAAAAGGCAACGTTGAGCACAGGGACCAACTCTACATCCAAAATTTCTCTGGACCTTCCTGATACCCTTGGTCAGAGCATTTCATATCCATGGCTCCTGTTCCCCAATCCTGCAGAGAGATCATTCTGTCCATTTGTTCACTAGGCATCTGTTGTGCACCCATCCTGTGCTAGGTACAGGAGTGCTAGACACACTCCAAGGATCAGAAAATGAGGAAGTGGGAAGTATGCTGTTAGCAGTGGAGGAGAGCCAAGAAAGCTTCCTGGAGGAGGTGAGAAGTGAAACTATGCATTAGAGCATGTGCAGGAATTGACCAGGCAGGAAAGAAAAGAATGGACATCTTATTCAAAGAGAAAAGCACATTCGAAGACCTGGAAGTGGGAAGTGAGGAGTGTGGGTGTGTTTTTTAAACTTGAACTGAGGACTCTCAGCTTGATTCTGGAAGGACAGCAAGGCTGTAACTTGGCAGGTCTAGGAGAAAGACCCACCCTCATCTCTAAGTGAATAGAACCCAGGCTGAGTGAGGGTTCCTAGCTCAGGTAGTCTTTGCAGGAGTGCTCCTCCTCCTCTGATGTCCTCTGCTCTAAGCCCAGTCCAACCTCTGCTCCCACATCTGCAACCTAATGCAGCACAGCCTCCCCCTGCTGACGGGAGCTGGAAGTGGGAGAAACCAGGCTGGGCTGTGACGAGATAAGTCCTAGAAGGGCCAGGCTGCTAAACCTATCACCAGGAAGTTGCCCTGCAAAGGCTCTAGACCTTGGTGTCACACAGACACAGTGGAACCCCAGCCTCAGTGTCCTCATCTGTTCAATGGGAATAAAAAGTATTTAGCCACCGAGGTGAGTGGAGAACCAAGGGGAATAGCTCACAGGAATAGCCCAGACCACAAGTAGCATTCAGAAGCTGTCATTTTCCTTCCTTCCACTGAAGCTTGGTACCTTCCTGTATCCCCTTTCCCTTCTTCCCTGACCACTTTTCCTCTGCCTTCCCATCAGACTTCTCAGAGCCTCCAGGGAGATGAGCTCACGACTGTTGCTGCTCTGGCTCCACGCACCTCCCAAGGAGCCATCCAGGGCTTCCAGGTGGCCCCTCGGGAAGCAAACAGAGGCAAACAGACATTCCCCAGAGGCCCTGACATCCAAGCAGAGCAGCAATTGCAGCCTGTGTCCCCATCCATTTCACACACTCTTCCTGTCCTGGGAGCCACACAACTCTTATGTATTAGCTTAGGAATCAGGGGCTGGAGAGATGGTTCAGAGGTTAAGAATGCTGGCTGCTCTTGCAGAGGACCTGGGTTCAGTTCCCAGCACCCACACAGTGGCTAACAACTATTCATAACTGTAGTTTCTGGGGATCCAACACCTTCTGGCCTCTACAGGCATTGCTCACATGTGGTTTACTTACATGCATGCAGGCAAAACAGTCATACACATAAAATTTAAATAAATAAATAATAAAGAATCAATGCTCCCCCTTTTCTATGCAGGTTCCACAGCTAACACCTCTCCTCTGAGCCTCAACTTCTTAAGTATGGGGAAAAGGATGCACGTTGGGTGAGCAACCTAAGTCTAATTCATTTATTCTTCCTTGGTATGTCCAAGCCTAGGAGCTCTCCCTAGGAGTTTTGCACAAAAGAGAGAGGTGCAGAGGTTGGAGGCTGGCAGTTCGTATCACAAGGCTTGGGGCAGGGCCCCTGAAAGGTGTCCCTGTACTGTTTTCAGCTATTAACCTAGGCTAGTAAGAAGCAACTTGGCTAAATCCCTGACCTAGTCATCATCAAGCAGGGGCCAGCCCTGACAGCACCCATATGAGTGAGATCCCAAGAGGCAGTGGGCATTTCCCACCCACCTTCTTCACAAGCCTTGGTTTCCTGGGCCAGTCTGGATAATGGGTCACCAGGGATCAAAAAACGCCCCAGCTAGCCAGGCTATCTCTTTCCTTTCTCTAAACACACATTCCATCTATCTAACCCTAAGTCTTTACCTATCTGCACCCACCTTTCAAGTCCTATCCCTAAGTAGCCTTCCTATGTCATCCCTGCCCATTCTGGTCTCCCCACTTTACTGTTGGCATAGGAGCCCTCCGTCCACTGCACATCTTCACACGAATCCTGGTGTCATCCCCATTTCAGAAAAGAACAAGATTCAGTAAGGGGTTCCAAGATTTGAATGAGAGCCTGTATTTTCCATTCTTTCTGTGAACATATAGTGAGGGCCTGCTCCAGACCAGGTGGAGAGCCTATCCAGCTGAACCCTTGACATGGAAAAAAGGGGAAAAAAGGTATCATACAAGAAAAAAAAAAAAAAAAAAAACACCACTGGGACAAGCACCATGAAGAGAATTGTGGGGGCAGGTGCTGACTTGAATTGGAGAATCAATAGAGATATATGTTGTGCTACTTGACCTACCAAAAAACTGAGTAGACATTAACTCAGAGAGAAATAAGGGATCCTACAGAGAGGGTACAACATGTGCAAAGATCCTGTGGTGAGAGAATGGAAAGAGAGACCATGTGACCAGAGCAGGAGAAGAAGAAATTGAAGTTGAGGCTGCAGATAATATACAGGCAGGAAAAACAGGTTCCAGTGAGCCCTGTAGGGTTTCCATCTAGAGGCTCTGAATGGCCCTAGAGGTTCAAAACAGAGGACAGTGAGTCCACATCAACTGTTTCTGTGCTGCTACTCAGTACCCTGGACCCAGATAACCACTATTCCTGATGCCCATTCCCTGGCAATAGGCAGGACATATTGGGAACTTGGGCTTAGGAGCTGAATTGACAATACAGGGAGCAGAAGACCTTGGGTCCAGTTGAATGTCTCTAGATAGCACCTACCCCTCACTGTTCCCTATAACTGTGAAGTAAGCACTGAATAGATCATATCCTGCCATCTCTGCTCCATCCTGGGCCATAGCCTCCAACAAGGTGATAGAGAGGACACAAGAAACAAAATGTCCCCACCAGAGAGATTCCAGGGCCTAAAACCTTACAGTGCATCAGGGGCTGCCTGGGCCTGTGCTGGCCTGTGTGTCCCCCAAACGCTCCTCTGCCCTGTGTTTTCTTCTTTAGCCCTTCCCAAATGGGGCATTCCAGAGGGTTTTTCCGCATCCCACATTTGCTTGTGCCCTCACTGGTTTCTCTCCATCTACTTGTAACCACATATCAGCCTGGAAGCCATGCTGACCTATGGTAGCTGAGTTGGACCACTGGGCTTTCAATTTTCCCATCCATGGAAGGGTATCATTATTTGTCTCTGTGGACAGAAGAGAGGACAGAGCAATCTGGAATGTTTGTCAACCACCAGCCACTATGTCAGAAGCACTGTCTGCCCGGCATCATCCTGAGACGATGTCCACACACAGGACAGCAAATGCACAGAGCTGGCCCTATAAAACCTTCTGTAAAACCCTTATCTAGTAGCATTTCTCCCCTCCATCCCAACACCCTACCCCCCACCTCATCCCTGCTTAAGACCACATAACCTTCATGAACCTGTGTGTTGAAACTAGTTTTTGGACACCATTTATTTACATA